ATCCCATTATCATGCTTGGATTTGATGCTCTGCGTATTCATCTTTGGAGGTTTTGTAATCACTACTCAGTATAACTTCATAGTTTGATAACTCAATTCTTTTTTCAGAATAATCCTTATGAAAAAACAGCGTTAAAAGAAAACATATAGTCAGCCTCGATATTTCCAACTTCTAATGAAGTGTGAAAGCAACATTGGTTAGTGGCAAGAATTATGTCTGACTTGTTCAGGAATTGTACTATTTGATTTACAGGTAATGGAAGCAGTTTTGTAGACAATGGGTTAAGTGAGGCTGACCCTGAGGTGCGTGCTATTATTGAAATGGAGAAGGAGCGACAGCTCAAGAGCCTTGAGCTTATTGCCTCAGAGAATTTTACTTATCGGGCAGTTATGGAGGCAGTTGGCTCATGTCTCACGAACAAGTATTCGGAAGGATTACCAGGTAAAAGGTATATATACTCAGACTTAGAGTTATGTGAGTTCAATAGGTTCCTTTCATTAAAATAATTATGCTTGGTGTAGCTCACTGTTTGATTATACATTTCAGGTACTATGGTGGCAATGAGCACATTGATGAGCTTGAAACACTTTGCCAAAAAAGGGCTCTAGATGCATTTCACTTAGATGGAAAGAAGTGGGGTGTTAATGTTCAACCATTATCTGGTTCTCCTGCTAATTTCGAGGTTTATACCGCAGTTCTTAAACCTCATGACCGTCTCATGGTAAGTTGTCCTTTTGGCTTTGTATTACTCTTACTTATTGGTAGCTACTAACATGTGCTTGTAACTTAGGGTTTGGACTTGTCTCACGGAGGACATTTGTCTCATGGTTTCATGACTCCTAAAAGACGGGTATCAGGCACATCCATTTATTTTGAGTCCATGTCTTACCGACTCAATGAATCCACAGGTGCTGCATTTTGGTTATGGATAAGAAAGATGTTGTCTGAAGCTTTACTAAGGATGTAATGGTTATTCTTTTGGGATGATGTTGATTTTTTTTCCTTTAAAAAACAAAAACTATACCTAGGTCTGGTTGACTATGACAAGCTTGAGGAAATGGCTGACCGATTTAAACCAAAACTCATCATTGCCGGGGCTAGTGCTTATCCACGAGATTTTGACTACCCTCGCATGAGGAAGGTTAGTATTTTAAGTCTTAATTTCCATATGCATAATGATATGGAATTCATTAGCATTTATAAACACTGTTTTTCTTTGGCAACTGATGAATTACGTTGAATTTACATGGGAAGATTGCGGATGCTGTTGGTGCTTTTCTTATGAT